AGGAGGAGGAGGAAGGAAAGGAGGAAGAGGAAGGAAAGGAGGAGGAGGAAAGGGAGGAAAGAAGGAGGAGGAAAGGGAGGAGGAGGAGGAAGAGGAGGAGGAGGAGGAGGAGAAGGGACGAAGTTTCTCAACTGAGATGTCCATCAACTGATGAACAGATAAAGAAGACATGGTACATACACTGGCATGCTACTGAGTCATTTGTGACAATCCTGTTATTTGTGACAACATGGAGAGAACTGGAGATCTCAATTGGAGAACTGGATAAGCAACAGAAGCCAGGCACAGAAAGACAAGGACTGCAAGATCTCACTCCTATGTGGAATCTAAAGAAGCTGATCTCATAGAAGTCAAGAGTGGACCACTGACTCGGGAGGCTGAGGCAGGAGGATCACAGGTTCAAAGCCAGCCTCAGCAACTTAGTGAGCCCCTGTCTCAAAATAAAAAAAATAAAAAGGGCTGGGGGTATGGTTCAGTGGTTAAGAAACCTGAGTTCAGTCCCTGATACTGGGAGAAAAAAAAAAAAAGTGGACTGGTGGTCACCAGATGCTGGGGATGGTTGGTGGGGTGGTCAGTGGGTGCCGAGTTGCACCTAGAGAGGAGCAGGGAGTCTTGCGCACTACTCCAACGCAATGGGTAGAACCAGCACCGGGACACCCTGGCTTCTTAATTTTCATGGGACTGTGGAGGTGGGGGACTGGGATCTGATCTTGGGGAGGAAAAGGGACCCTCAGATACCTGTGGTGGTTTCTGGCTGCGCCGATGTCTTGGGCGAAGGCAGGAATGTGGTAGTTAACTCAGGAGCTGCAGAAAGAGTCMCCATCAGGGAAGCACCGAGCCCCCAGGTCTGAGAGAAGCCCTCCACGCCCCCTGGGGTGCACTGGGGGCCACGCCAGAACCACCGATCCCAGGTGAACCATGGACCAGAGTGAGCGGAAAGAGCATGYGCACGGCGGGTGGGGGGCAAGCCTGCGAAGGAAAGGAGCCCTAGAGGGAGCTTGGGTGACGGGAGAGGAGGACAAAGAGGACCCTGGGATGCACGGGCAGAGAGAAGGGACGGAGAGGAAGGAGGGATGAATGTAGGGTCAGAAGAGAAGGCAAGGAGGAGCGCGTGGAGGACCTGGTGGAGAATGGACGGCTCGGCAGGCAGCCGAGTTGACCACTAGATGGCAGCACGCGCAATTTTAGCTAAAGCCACCGGGGAGCCGGCAGAGTTTGCAGCTTGACACCACGAAGCCCCCTGCTGGGCACCCCGTGGTCTTTGAGGCATAAATTACACGGTCACCRTGCGACCTCCATCCCTAGGTTCAGAGGATGCTTGTTCAAACTTCTCCCTTAACTCAGAGGAATGTGGAGAATTCAGAATCCAACGCCACGTTACAGGTGCAAGAGGAGGCCAGGGATTTAGCATCCCCCACCCCCACCCCGCACTGAGACCCTGGCCCCTCCCAGGAGACCCGCCTGAGTTTGGGGAGGAAGGAGAGAAGCTGAAAAGAGCTCTGGATGCCAGGACACGTACTTGGAGGAGGCTCATCCGGACCACGCTCATTGTAACCTGGAAAAGATGTCACAGGTGAGGAGAGGGTCACACCGTGCTGCCCACGCCCACCACAAGTCTGCATCTTTACCACTTAAGGTGGGCAAACCTCCCCCCCACGCCTCCGTTCACCCCAGGATGTGCCCTGCCCACTTGGTGAGGACAGGGATGAGCTCTGAGCTGTCCCCAGGCTGGGGATGGAGGGGAGGGAGGGAGCAGTCGGTAAACCTCCCCACGGCCAGGCTTTGTGACTCAGAACCCCATGCAGGGACGCCCTCTTGAATTCTATCTTTTCTGGGTTCTGGGCTGATGCTGGTGCCCTAGAGGTCTGGGTCCCCTCTTGGGCCAGAGTCCCTGACTTCCTCCCTGGCATAGGGGACAGGGGACCCACTCTGGAGAGACGTTCATCCCTCATCAAGAGAAGAAAGCAGGGCGGGGGTACAGATGCGTTCAGCCCCCCACCCCCAGGTGTCTCCAAGGAAGACTCCTCTGCATATCTAGAGCAGAGCCAGGCGAYACATGTGGAAGACTGGGCTCCTTCCCTGGACCGACACCCTCGGGGAAGCCACCCTCTCTGAGCCTCCGTTTCTCCTGTAGAATAGGATTCCTCAAGGACCGGCCTTGCAGGGAGGCTGTGGGAGGCCGGATGTGGAGGCAGGGTTCGAAGTCTAAGTCTCCCCTAGAGACCTGACACTGGCATCCTGGTGGGCTGCAGGGGGGTGGGTGGGCTGAGGGCTGCTCACCGTTGAGGTAGAGGCTGTCCTTGTCCAGAGAGTAGGGACCCAGCCTGGTGATGCCCCGAGTCTCCCTTCTCAGCTCGTGGAACACCTGCTGGGCTGACAGACCTGGGCCCCTGGGTGGCCGCTGGTAGGTGCAGAGGAGATTCACCTGGGTCTGCTCACCGTTCTTCACAGACCTGGGGAGGGACAGGGGAACTTTGGGGGGGGTGCAGGTGACCTGGCACCTGCCCACCTGCAGTGGAGAGTGGTCACTGCCCCTCACAGCCGGCACCCCAGCCTTCAATTCACCACGTCTCCACAGTGTCCACTCAGCTCTGCATGTGGACATGTGTGTGTGTGTGTGTGTGTGTGTGTGTGTGTGTGTGGTGTCCGTCCAGAGTCAATGAAATCAGTATCGCAAAGAGCGATCTCCACTCCTGAGCTCCTCCCAGCACCATCGCCACAGCCAAGACCCGAGACAACCTGGACGACCTCCAACCAGGACACACACACTGTGGGGCGGTGGCGTTAACAGAGACGGAAACCCGGTCGCTTGAGAAGCCCTGAATGCAGGTGGAGGACACTGCACTAAGTGAAATAAGAGACTCAGGAAGAAAGAGAGCATGATTTCTCTCCTACGTGCAACCTCGAAGGGACTCCTAACGATCACGCAGACAGTAGGACGATGGCTGCCAGGGCTGGGGGATAGGGTAGGGTGACACTGGTCAAAAGGCGCAAAGTGGTAACCAGGTAGAGAGACCTGGATTAGCTGGAAGGTGGCCATCACTTCACAGCGGATATCAACATATACAATTTTTACATGTCAAAAGTGAAGTTGTCATAAAACAAAGAACTGAAAAGTCCAAGAAGAGAACAAACGAGCACACGCCAGCCAGCCGAGGGGCGAGGCCTGGGGTGGGTGGAGGAGGGCAGGGGCTCTTCTCACCTTAGGGCTGTGACCTGGCAGCCTCTGTACTGGGCCCCCAGGCTGCTCCTCTGGAACAAAGGGCTGAGCTGGAGAGGAAGAGGGGAGGCTGTGTTGGTCCAGGCAGGTGCTGCCCTCTGGGGGGGGGATGGGGCGGGGGGAGAAGGCCACTCACCAGGTGCTGCATGAGGGTGTCCGTGATGTTGAACTTGAGGGATCGGGGGTGGCGCATTTCAGACGAGTAGCGCAGGTTTCGGAGGGTGAAGTTCAGGGTGAAGGGCTCCCTGCTGACCTCCCCAGCTATAGCAGGTGGGCAAGAGAGGAAGCTGGCAGGGATGACCGTGGCCGAAGGGGGTGACATGGGGGCCAGGTGGGGGCGGTGTGTGCCCTTGGGTGGGGCCTCCAGGGCCCCCTGTCCTGGGTCCTGGTGGAGAGCCCCAGGCCCCTTCAGCCTCTGCTTCCTGYTTCACCAGTTGCTACTTGCTCGAAGGAGCTGTTTACACTTTTAAAATCATGCCTCAGTTTACCTCTTGACGGCAGGGAGGGAGGGTTTGTGATGGAAGCCAAGGGAGGGTGGCCTCCCGCCCTGGGCTGGGACACTGCAATGGCCCAGGAGAGAGACAAGGCGGGGGTGGTGCTTCCCTCTCCGAGGACAGGGTGTGTGGGAAGCTGACATCAGGGGTACTCACTGGTGGGGGTTAGGGCCGCGGCTCCAAAGGTGTAACCTGCACAGAGAAGTGAGGCAGAGCTGAGGGTCAGCTGGGGGACCCGGAAGATCAAGGATAGAAGAGGCTTGGGGAACTGTTTTGGGGTCAAAGCAGAGGAAAAGAGGCAGTGGAGGGACATTCTGGGAGAAGGTAATCGGGCGACCGGACTGCAGGTGGCTGGCCCTGGTCATTGACCCTACGATGGTTTTGGTCCATCTCAAGGAAGATGGGAGTCAGACCCAGAAGGAGAGAAAGAGGGGCCCAGGTCCCCCCTAGAAAGATGGAGGCTTTGCTCAGAGCCCTGGGAAAGGCCACTCCAACGGGCAGAGGGAACATGGCTCTGAGACGGCCCCTCACCATTGACGTAGAGACTGTTCCTGTCCAGAGTGTAGGAGCCCAGCCGGGTGACACCCTGGGTCTCGTGGCTCAGCTCCCAGTACAGCCGCTCCGTGTCCAGCCTGGCGCCCACGGGGTCAGAGTGGAAGGTGCAGATCATATCCACTCCCGTGGAGGCTCCGCCATCCTCAGGCCTGGAGAAAGGGGGACATGGGGCGTGGGATGCCGAGGAGGGTCTTGAGCAATCTGGGTGTAGGGGGGAGAAGGCCGAGGGAGACACCGTGGGGCCAGCTGTCAAGGCCACAGGGGGCCTGTCCTGAGTGTGTCATCAGACGGCCTCCTGGCCCTGGGGACCCGACACATCTGGAGTAAATGGTGCAGACAGGGTGTGGGGTTGTCCTCCTGCTTCTCAGAGGAGAACCCTCCCTGAAGGCAGAGTGTCACCTGGATTTTGTACACTAAACACAGGTCCTCGTCTCAAAGCCACCGAATGCTCAGGCCTTTGCGCCCCCTGGGCAGGAAGAAGGGGTGGCCGTCCCACGGCGGGTGCTGGAGGCTCCCTGGCTGGTGCCCGAGGTCCACCCCACCCGGTGAGCACTTCCTTGGGGCCTCACCTGAGCGAGGCCAGCCTGCAGCCGCCGTAGAGGGGACCTGMGCTGGTCTTGTTGAGCAAGGTCTTGAGCTGGTGGGAGGGGACAGGAGGTTAGAGGGCCCGGCCGCAGGGTGACTCGGGCAGGGGTGAGGGGCCAGGGGTGGCCACGGGAGGCTCTCACTTGGCGCTGCAGGATCTTCTCAGTGAAGACGAACTTCAAGGACCCCGGGTGCTCCATCTCTTCCGTGTGTCGCATGTTGGTGATGGTGAAGTTGAGGGTGACCGCTACCACGGAGGAGCCATTGACTGCGGAGGAAGAGGCAGGTGTCAGACACAGGAGCCACCCTGCTGGCCTCTGGCTGTAGACGCCTGAACTGCAGCGGGGGACCTCGTGGAATCCCTAAGACTTCAGGAACCTTGGGTCATCCGGGGAGCATTTACTGAGCGCCTCATGTGTGCAAAGGTTCTGATGGAAGTGGCAACACCACTCTGCTTTTGGGGGGGTGGTGGGCGGAGGCCACGAACATCCAGGAAGGCCACCAAGCAGTGACTTAAGATGGCTTTCCAGAGAAAGCGCCATTTCAGGTGTGACCAAAAGCATAGGTAAGGGAAGGGGCCCACCGTGGAGCGCGGACTCCAGGAGGGAGCAGCCGCCTGGGCAAAGGCTGGGAAGAGGAGAGAGCAAGGTGTGGTGACGCACAGGAACAGGAAGTCCTCTCATGGTGGCCGTAGGAAGGGACGATGTGAGAAGGGAGGGACCCAAAGGGGAAGGAATGACTCTGCAGAACACGGTCCGGATGTGGCTTGCGCAYCAGAGAGAGTCATCCAAAGATTGTCGGGAACCCCACGGACAAAGGTACCTTAGGAGGGAGGTGGCAGCTGTGGTGCAGAGGGTGAYGGGAGGCCAGAGTGGAGGCTGTGGGTGTCATCAGAGTGAGGCAGAGAAAGGAAGGGCTTGGGAGACCCCAGAGGGAGGAGGGGTTAGATGGGCTGCGGGCTGGAGGTGAGCAGGAGGTGAGCAGGAACGGTCAAGCCTGGCTTTCTGTCTCTGCTTTTGGCAACGGAGGAGGAGGTTTGGGGGACCTTCTCCTTAGGGTATCAGAGACCAGGGGGCCTGTGTGATGGCCAGGAGGCGAGAGGGCCACAGGTCAGTAACTTCTGGGTGGCATGGGCTGGACCCAGGATTTGGATCCTGAGCACCTAGAGGGTCCCTGGAATCCACAGAAATGGGTGAGTTCCTTGGGGGAAGGTGAGCGAGCAACGAGAGGAATGATCAGGTGCAAACGGGTCGGTACCAATTGTACTGGAGCAAAGAGAAGCCTGCATCCTGGAGATGCTGCCTTCCCACCTGGGGCAGGCGGAGCCAGAGAGGGTGCTAAGAAGRATGCGGTGGTCATGGGTGCCGAGGAAAAAGGCCAGGAAGGAGATCCAAGGTGTGCTACCTCTTTAAGGGAACGGGGTCAGCAGTGGAGATTGCCTGTATGAATTTGTGCCTCTCTCTGCACCCCATTCAGTCTGGAGTTGGGGCCTCCTCCCTGGGGATACGTGTGCAGGGGTAGGCGACTTTGCCACCCCCATTCAGTCCCCATTCCTAGGCATCTCCTCTGGACTCTTCTCCATCCAAAAAGTGGGTGATCAGGGAGGGCCRGCTGGTGGAGGAGCTCCCAGTTTGGGCAGCAGGGTGGAACCCAGGGATCTGGACTACTACGATTCACAAAATGAAGACAGAGCCCTCACCTGGAAAGGGTCAAAGTCCACTCCTAACCCCAGAGCGGCAGAGGCTTTACTTCAAGTACAGTCCTGGACAGAAGCTAACTTAGGATCTGCCGCGGCAGGGAAGGACAGCCGCATCCCAGCACGGCCCTTTACCAGAGAGTGGATCCTCTAACTGCAGAAGTTGGGGGAACATACCCCAAGTGCTGGGCTGGGGCCTCCCACATCCAGGAGATGCTCGGGAGGAGATGCCGGGCTCTGGGAACTAGCAGGTATAGCTCCCTGTACCTAGTGGGTTGGACGGGGCTGGGATTGGGAGTGGAGGCAAGGAGCCCTGGCCTCGAAGGGCTTGGACCAGGCAGAAGGTTACAAGAGTGAGACCTGAGAGAGACCCAGAATACTCACTGCTGGAGGTAGTGGTCGAGGCCTGGCGGGTATAACCTGTACAGGGAGAAGGAGAAAGGGTTAGAGGGAAGGGCATCAGAGAAGAGAGAAAGAGCATGCAGAACGCACGGAACTGCTGTGAGAGATGGCAGCCCCTCACCATCAACGTAGAGACTGTCCTTATCCAGGGTGTAGGGCCCCAGCTGGGAGACRCCCTGGGTGAGCTGGCTCAGTTGCTCGTACAACTGCTTTCTGTCCAGTCCGACACTTGTGGGGCTGGGGCGGCGGGTACAAGCAGCATCCACTCTGGTGGCAGCCCMATCCTTCTCCGGCCTGGGAAGAGCAAGTAAGAGAGACGGCCGTAAGTTGAGAGCCCAGGAAGGGGTCCTGAGTTTCGGGGGAGCAGGTCAGGAGGCAGSCAGAGGCAAAGACAAGTGTGGCAGAGAAGTGAGAGGCCAGACTAAGATCCTGTGAGGGACACTGAGGGCAGAGTCAGGGACTCAGGAGTCTTTATTAAATGGCGAGACTTTGAGCCTGTAATCCACRGCACGTGGGCAGGAGTCAGATGCTGGGGACAGACAAGAGGTGCAGYTGCTGATTAAAACAGGCGGAAAATACAAGTTCGTGCTGGGAGAGCATTTAACACTCAGAGAAAATGGCCCCATTGGGAAAAGGAGCAGAGTGAGATTTCGGAAGGACGACCATCACGTGGGAGATCCAGTATGGTTGATGGATTCTACAAAATCCAGGGATGGGGGGAGTTGAGGAGTGAAGTTGTAGTTTTAGGACACTCCTGGTGCTAGAGCCAACACCTCCTGAATTCCACCTCTACTGAAGACAGCCACAGGAGTGAGGAAAGGAAGATGACCAAACTCCTGAGCTGGGGAGCACTTGAGGAAGTCATAGACTGGAATTGCAAGCACTCACTTGAGCAAAGTCAGTCTGCAGCCAGAGTACAGGGGACCCACACTGGTGTTCCTGAACAAGGGTCCAAGCTGTGGAGGAGAGAGAGGGGGGAGTAGGTCAGCTGAGAGGTGGGCAATGGCAYCATTGGTGGGTGTGGGGATCYTGSAGGATACASGTGCATCAGAGGGTGGGACACAGGCAGGCTGGCTCCAGTGGGCAGGACCAGAGTGGGACAGGCACTGTGCTCACCAGGTGCTGCAGGDYCTTCTGAGTGGTGTTGAAGGTCAAGGACCCTGGGGGCTGCATGTCGTCCTCGTAGCGCAGGTTGGTGATGGTGAAGTTGAGGGTGAAGGACTCCAGGGGAGGTCCTGAGGCTGCATCAGGGGAGGGAGAGGAGAGATACTCTGAGTAAAGTCTGCAGTGAACAAAGTGGGCAGGCAGGGTCTGTGGCCATGGGCCTCACACCAAGGAGCACATTGCTTGACAAGTTTGCAGCACCTGGGGTGCTGAGGGTCCCTGGTGCCTAATGTCTAAACCAAGCCTTGATTGTCACATGCTACAAGCAGGAGGGAAGGATCTGGAAGCTACAAATCTATGATGAATGAAGTTACTATACACCTCTATTTTTATGAATTTTTTAACCTACCTTTGTCTGTTTTCCAGCCAAACGACATTTAATGACCTTGGTGTGTGTCCAGGCAACAGCACAAGGTGATCAGAGCTGAGACCTATCCCACTGGCTTTCCAGCCTGTGACCCGGATCCTACCCTCCCTGACAGCTAAAGATGTGGGCAGGGGTCCCCTGGAGGTCAAGGGAGCATGACAGGGTCACTGTGGACTCACCACTGGGAATAGTTGCTGTGGCCTGTTGGGTGTAACCTGTAGTAGGAGAGGGGGAGAGAGGCGTGGGGGAGAATGAATATGAACGTGTGAGTGGGTAAGGACGAAGCCCACCCAGACGTGGAAGACGTGGGCTCTACCCTACAGCACAGCAAGGGTGGCCCCTGCTCACCATTGACATAGAGACTGTTCTGGTCCAGGGCGTAGGGGCCCAGCTGGGTGATGCCGTGGGTCAGTGGGCTCAGCTCCCAGTACAGCTTCTCTCTGTCCAGCTTGGGGCCCACGGGGTCAGGATGGTAGGTGCAGACAGCGTCCACCCTGGTGGCTGACCCATCCTTCTCAGA